CAGAGGACAACCTTCTTGCTGACCATCTCAGTTGTCTTACCACCAGGACACACAAGTAGGCAGTGAACAACAAAGTTTTTGACCTTCTCTGTCACCAATGGGGTGTTCCGTCCATCAGTGTCTTTGCCAAGCCGGTATTGACAAGAACTCACTCAGAGATGCCTTTATGATAGACTGGGTTGGAGACCTACTCTACCTATTTCCTCTGATTCCACTCATACAACATACCATCATTCGACTTCAGCAGTTCCACTCGAATGCCATCCTCCCCGTGGTGGCCACATCAGCCATGCTTCACCCACCTGAGGTAGATATCAATCGATGTGTTCCATCTCCCATCAATCCCCAACTTTCTGACCCAGGACAATGGGATGATTTACCACCCCGACATAGACTCTCTGAACTTGACAGCATGGAGGATACTCCCACCATAAAAAACTTACTAGATCGAGCCCAAAAGCCATCGACCCAACGGTTATAGCAAAACAAATGGAAAGCATTCCTCTCTTTTGCTAATTTTCAGAACTTACCTGCAACGCCAGTTTCTCTGAAGACTTTATCCTTCATCTCTTTCATCTCGGACTATCTTATTCTACTCTCAAGGCATATATTTCTGCTATTGTAACCAATCAACCTTCTCAGTCTGATTTGGCTAGGCTTTTCTCTCACCCAATTTTGAAGAAATTCCTGAAGGGACTCCACAATATCCATCCCCCATGTCAACATCCTCTTCCTCAATGGTCTTTGCAACTTGTCCTCAACGCACTTGCCCAACCACCTTTCAAACCAATGGCTACTACTAATTTCAAATTACTCTCTCTAAAAACATCATTCCTTGTAGCAGTAGCATCTGCTAAACATGCTAGCGAACTTGCAGCCCTCAGATCGGATCCACCTTTCTTTCAGTGCCATCTGGATAAGGTTACCCTCTATTTTGATGTATCATTTTTACCTAAAATTGTATCTGAATTTCACCTCAATCAGCCGTTGATTCTACCAACTTTATTTCTGTCTCCTTCTACACCTATCAAGTGCATACTCCACATGCTTGACATAAGATGCTCTTTGGCCTTCTACATCGATAGAAAGTATCCAAGTCTCTTGTTATGCTTTCATGGTCTTCATAAGGTTGCCTCAGCTTTGCCTCAAACTGTCTCTCGTTGGATTGTTCAAACTATCTCATTGGCCTATGAGCTCACAGGCAAAACACCTCCTAAACATTTAAGAGCTCATTCTACCAGAGCGCTGTCAACCTCTACGGCCTTCCAGCGCGGAATAGAACTCCCTCACATTTGCCATGCAGCTACATGATCTAACCCATCGACTTTTGTGAGGCACAACCATCTGGATGTCCGGGCGAAGAATGATGCTGCTTTTGGCAGAGCACTCTTGACATCCTTTCTACCATGAGGTCCCACCATCCGGTAAGTGAGCTTGTCAGTCACCCAATTGTGTGCATTCACAGAGGCCATGAAGAAGAAAGAGAGGTTACCTACCTATAACCATGATTCTTCTAGTGGTCCTTTGTGAATCCACACATCCCACCAATCCTCCCCTCTGTCGGTCATGTTGTCTTTTGATATAGGTCTTTGACAGTGGCAGACTCTTACAGGAATTGAGGGGAGCTTTGGAGGGCGGAGCATGTGCTCCATGGGGGAATGTCCTACTAATCACATGTCTTTAAGCTCTAGAAATGTCTAAGACGTCCTGCGCAGGCACAGAACAACCCAATTGTGTGGATTCACAGAGGGCAGCTAGAAGAACCATGGTTACAGGTAGGTAACCTCTCTTTTTTTCCTTTCCCTCTCCCGCGTCTCTTAATAGAAGCTGCTGCATTAGATGCAGGCAGCATTTCTGGAGCCTTCCTCAAGTGCCTCCTTGTTTTACCATACCTATCTTTCATGCTGCTTACAGATTCTGCCCAAAGAATTATAGTACCTGATTCTGCTACAGCAGAACACAGACCCTTCCAATGAAAATTTCACAGAGAGAGAGAGAGACACACACAAAATCTCATAACTTAATATATATCTATATATAACAAAATCTTACTCCTCTACCTGAGGGGCCTAAATCTAATATTTTCCTTTTGATTTATAACGTATTACTCTCTGAATCTATTAATCCTAAATCTTACTTCTAACTATTTTAAGTAAATAATATACAATGAGATGGAGAAAATTTAAATGTACTTTGAGGGTTCAGAAAAGGACACTAAGAAAAGTGCTGCAGTGCAGGATTGCACCAGACTATATCCTAACAGTAAATGTTCAGAGGATTTATAGGCAGCTACTGTATGCCCACCTTTCCGTTAGAAAGAACCAATATTGGAAGATTCCTACTGATACCTTTGCGTGCTTTTCTCACCCTGGCTCCCCTCCCTTGGGTAACCCATGGCAAACCCAATTAGGAGACATTGGGTTCTCTACCCCACTACCATTGGTGCCAGAGTGTCCTTAAGATCAATTTCCAAGAAATCACTCCAGGAAGCCTAAGAAATAGCTTTCACTTTGACTTCTTGCTCTAGCAAACAGAAACCTAGCCTTTTGCTTTCTAAACTCAAGAGTAAATAGGACTCTAAATATTAGAAATTATTATTACAGATATTTGGAATATGGAAATTTGGATTTGGATATATTCAGAAATATCTGAATATAGTACTATTTGATGAATCCCAAATATTTCTGAATTCAAATGCACATCCATAGTTGCGGCTAAGTCCCTAAATTTTCTAATCTGTATACATTTTATCACTTATTGTTGTCTTGCCCTCCTTCAGAAGGTTGTGCTTTTAGTTTATGTGAACAGTTGGGCAGCTTTGCCATAAATATTACTGTAACCATCGGGTTATGTTGAGGATTGGGGGAATTAAAAAACAATGTTTTATTTGTAGAAGCAGTTAAGAAGAAAAAGAATATACAATAAAGAGAATGCTGCCAAGAGCAGTATCATGTGCTAGAGAAAAATGCCTCAGCAAATGATGTTGGAACATGAGGGAATAATTTTGAATTAACAACTTAAACCCATGAGCCTCAGAGCTGGCAATATTTAATTTCATTAATTTCATTGGAGCAGTAAAGCGTGCAACGTAGCAAATAATTTATCCCATCCCTTTTTTACAAAATTAATCAAGTGGAGAAAGTGAATAGCATACATATTGCCAGGAGTCGATGAGAGCAGAAAGAAGTTACTGCAGTTAAGCAACAAAACTCAGATACACAGATTGTTAGTTTACAGGATTGTTTAAACAACTTTCACCAACCAGGCAACCTTACCAAACCTTTTCAGATACATTGGACTACAAATCTCACCATCCTCAATAGGAAACAATGAGTATATCAGATTGGTGGTCCAGCACATCTGGAAAGTAAATGCCAAGTTGGGAAACTAACTCAAATTACAAACAGAGCATTTCTGAAAGAACCAAGACTTGTGCCATCAGGGGGCAGTGTTCTCAACAAAAGAGATACACTGTATGCTGTTAATTCTGAGGTTTGTTTAAAAATGAACCAGTAATGATATTATGAACATAAACAGTGTAACAAACCAGAAATCATGCACCCAGCTCAAATTTATATAAACAAATTAGAACTTTGAGCTCACTAAAGATCAACAAATTAAGTTTCTTGTACCAATATGTTAAGCTTTTGATGGGAACCAAGGAAGCCACCCGGCTAAGGTATTGATTGCTCAGTTTGAATTTCTTTCTCCAGGACCTGCTCAGCCCTACTAGAAATACTTGTGCTCTTTGAGATTTCCCTTTGTCTCTTTTTGGTGTGGAGTTGTCCTTCCACAACAGAAATATGTTTTTTGACATGTATCTGAGAGTTTGATTAGCTTAGCCAGCTAATGTTTATGTTAATTTTAATTTCAGTAGAACTGATTCCTATATTCTCTTTGCTTGGCTCCTTAATAAATACACTGTTGTCAGAATTGGAGTTAATCTGGTTTCCATGCTGTTCAAGAGTAGGGTCTGAGCAGTCAGAATGCAAGCTAAACCAGTGTTTTGCTAATCTCAAAATAATCTAGTGTGCAAACTACAGGTGATCGGAAGAGACTGTAGATTATAATCAGCTTTTAATGCTTAAAAGAATTCCTCCATTTTACAAATTACTGAGACATATAGTTCAGCTCCAAAGAGGTGGTTGAGGAATAGAAAAGAAGCTCAGGGAAATGTATCTTTTTTGTAAATGTATAAGCCGGTATTTTCTTCTGTCCTGTTTGGAGGAGTATAGGCAAATTGGGTTTTGCAGTTTGTCCTGCCCTGTGAAGTTGGCAGTTAGTTGTGCTGCTTCATCCCAGAACTTCAACAAACAGAAGATTCTGGCCAGTCCAGATTTACTTTCTTATTTTATTTACTTAACTTTTCTAAAGAGATTATGTGTTATGACTTTAAATACGGTTAGGATTGACTGGGTTTGTTCTTTAATGAAACAGTAAAAACCAGGATATAAAGCTAGCAGTTAAGGAGTAGATCTGGTTATTCTTAATCACAGTTACCAATATCTTCCTTAACTCTATTTATGGCAGTAGATTTAGAGAAACTACGTCAGATAGGGAAGGGACATGTAATTTTATGGTTCCTTACCAATATTTTCACTGTGGCCAACGGATGAATCCTATTATGTGTGCATCAACCATTAGGAAAAATAGTTAGGGAATCAAAAATGCAACTGATGGGATTTTCTTTCTTTGTTAAAAGCCACTTGTCCTCAAAATAAAAATGCAAAGCATAAGAATTAATTTAACTACAACAATAATGTTAAGCATTAATTGCTGAGACATATGTGATTTCTGCTTCTTGTTTTTTTCTTCAATTGAAGTGTTTCTACAGATGTGCAGAAGGGATGTTGCTAAAGTGATTTGACTATTCCATAGTATTCAGTGTTCCTTGCATTAAAAAGAACTGAAAACTGAAAGATATAAAAGCAATCATATGATTTCGGCACAAAACAGTAGCTTTGGTTTCTTTATACAGTGATGTTGCTTACATCTTGCAGTGCCGGAATAGGTCGGACTGGAGTTTTGGTCGCTATGGAAACAGCGATGTGTTTAATTGAAAGAAACCAACCTGTTTATCCACTGGATATTGTACGAAAGATGCGAGATCATCGTGCTATGATGGTGCAAACATCAGTAAGTGAGAGGGACAGGAGTTTCTTTTCAATCTGTGTGCCACATGCTTCATCTTCAATAATGCTTTCTGCTTCATATCCGTTTGTATGTTTGTTTGTTTGTTTGTTTCAAAACAGTGCTATATTTTATAAAAACTGCCTTAATTGCAAGACTGAATTTTTAACGTTGTGATGGAACACAGAGACTGTGTTGTTTTTTAAACAGTAGCATGCACGAGGGCCAAATCCAGTTATCCCGGAGTCCCAGTCCCTTTTCCTCTCTTGATTCCACATTCACTTCCCTATACCCCATTTTCATTCTCAATCAATACAAATAGTGCCCACCTCCTGTTCCATGCACAGACATACAGATGGAAACTGCAGATCTGGATTCATAGCGCTGAAGGAATTTTCTTTGCTACTTGGGAGAAGAGAGGGCTGTGACCTGCTTTAAAGCTTCACAACATGAGAGAGAAGAATATATTAAGAAAATATTAAGGTTTCTTTCTCTGTAGCAGAGTAGGTGCTACGTAAATATGTGGGTGGTTAGTTCCACAACAGACCCACAATAAAGTAGGAGAAGCAGTTAAAATCAAATAACTAAACTTTTGTTAAGAAAGTTACATTCCAGATAGGAAGAACAATCCAAAATAATCCAAAATCCTAATCCAAAATAGAGAGATATGTGCTCGGAGAGCACATGGAAGAGGAGGAACAACATGACTTCTTAGGGAAACTGAAAAGGAGGAGATTGATAGGCAGACCCTAACAATATTAGTTGAACAATAGGTGCAGGAGGAAGTAGAGATCACTTATCCGTACAAGCCTTTCTCTGGCATGTATTCCCAAATCTCCCTTCTGGTTATTTATGCTGACTAGATGTTGAGAAGGAATGCTTGGAGGATGTCAGGCAAGGATGTTCTCCTGACCTGGGCAAGGAAGGCAGGGTACACAGTCAAAAAGTCGTTCATTGGGGGGCAATCACAGAGTAATTGGCAGTGTTTGGGTCCCAAGAGAGGAATGCAAAAATTCCAGATCATGCTGCAAGGAGGCTGGAGACCACAGCCTCAGAGGAATTACATCAGCGCTCACAGACATGTAACACCAATTTTTGGACTCTTGTGTACAGTTTTTCTGTGTTAAGACTGAAAAAGTGGAATTTTCTTCACAAAAGCTTACAATTTATTTGGTTTTTAGTGGTCCAATAAAAGGTATCACCCACTCTTACATGTGTATAATCTTGGGGACCACATGGACTTTTCCTTGTTCTTTACGAATAAACAGGTTACCATTTTTATTTATTAGATTTATACTCTGATTTTCTGTGAAAGTCTGGCAGGGCAACTTTTCTTTGTATTTTCTTTGCTCCTCTGCAGTTTGTCTAAGCCTCTGATGCAGAGGTTTCCAACCTACAGTGACCCAGGTGTTCTTGAACTGTAACTTCCAGAAACCCTGGCCAGCACAGCTAGTGGTGAAGGCTTCTGGAGTTACAGTCCAAGAACACCTGGGTTACCCAAGGTTGGGAACCATTGCTCTAATGGATGGCTGCAGTCAGTTGGAAAATCTCTTTGCGATGTGTAGATGCTCAATCTTTGTCTTAAAGGCCTTATGCTATTTGTAATGCTGATAGAATATAATTTCTTGAATGAATGGAAGTTAAAGGCACCATAGCTGAACATTGATTGTATTAATATTTGAATGCTATTTAATTTAAGAATATCCCTCTTTTTTTGTATGTGTGTTACACAGAGTCAGTACAAATTTGTTTGTGAAGCTATTCTTCATGTTTATAAAGAAGGAATTGTTCGTCCACTGGAAGCCAGCTAGCGTAACTGAAGAAAAGAAGTTCAGCTTCCTAAAAATACAAGTATAAAGGCCAAGTGGATGCTGTTCTCAGTTATGGTGAATCTCTTGAAGGTTACTGAGAAAAGAAAGCAAGTCTATACTATGGCACTTTAAGATTCTAATAGAAAATTATTAAACCTTGTGTATACGAGAAGCAGGTATTGTCACAAGGCATTCAGTGTGGAATGTAAACATGTGAAAAACAAAGAAATCTTAATAAATTGCCTTAAATCAGTTTTCATTACAAGTTACTGTAATTCTGGCTCACCACTGTAAACTGGGGGACAAAAAGGCAAGATCAATGGGACAGCAACCCTGTTACAAGAAGAGATGTGCCTTCATCTTGTGCAGAGTTGAGTACTCCACAGCAAACAGAAAACTGGACTGAATCATTCAATATAAGGTGGCATTGGCTATATTTCTTAAGATTATCAGACATTTTGCACTGCCAAGAACTGCTGCAATGATGTAACTTCTGTACATCTAGATATGTCACTATCAACTTCATAAATTCAGAACTGATTGCATGATGTATAGACTAATACAATGGTACAGCTTTACATAACAAGAAAAATACAGTGTCTTCCACTGATTATTTGTATGTGCCCTCTGTGTCTCTTTGCCTTCTATTTTGTGGTTCATTATGAATGGTGATGTTTTAAAATTTGGCTTGTATCATATACTTTCTGTTTGTTTCAGCTGGAGATGGCAACTGACTATTGCACATAGTTGCTGAAGTTTCTTTATTGTTAACATTTAAACCAGGGCTAGCGACATTTACTGCTGAAATATTTTGCTGCTAAATGTTACTGTGGCTGCTAAAATGTATAGGTGTCAAAAATATTCATATGCAGAAAACCCGGGGTCATGAAATTGTGTGTTTTACATTAACTGTGTGTTAATTCTTCCATTAGTCTTATAGCATTGTTGCTAGTTCAGTTTTCATTCTATTTCCAGCCACATTAATATGTGATGCTTGCAACACATGATTGGCTAACATAAGTCATTTAGTCGTCATCGTTTAGTCGTTTAGTAATACCCCTCTATTAGTGTATGATTATTTTATATAGTAGTATCATTCTACTATGAGCAACTGCTGGTTACCTGTGGGGATAACAGTAAGTTTTGACATAAACTAATGAGACAATGCATTTAGCTTGTCACCAGAAGTGGAGGTCTGTCAAGAGATAAATGACTTCTGTTTGTCCCAGCACGACTTCTTCATATTTAAGTGTAATTCCTCAGGTGCAGAGCTTTGAAGGAATTAATCTCTGGAGGAATAATGTACCATCAGTTTCTAATTCTGAAGCCAGTGTCTTGTCTAGTTTGACAAATAAAAGTACAGTACAAGAAAGAAGAAAAATAATTAATTGAGGGAAGCAGCCAAGCTCACCCCATTTGTCAGGCTCACAGCCCTCTGTATATTTTTTTTTCCAAGAGTCCACAGAATGCCTGTGTGGAAATAAAAATTGGGTGCTCTGCTTCAGCCAGCCCAGTTACACGTGCCTAAATCTGGGTACACCTTACCAGATTTTGTCCTTGATAAAAATTGTGACTTAAATTATATAAGACGTTTCTGGCACAGTTCTATGAAC